TAATCATATTTTAATCTCAAAGAAATACCCTGCTATTAATGAATCTGTATATCTCGTTGTATCCACTTTGTGGTGTTTTCTTTTTTAAATTTTTTTTTTAATAACTATATTATCGTTAATATAGTTTGGCAGCAAATTTACATTTTTTCTTCCCCCGTTATTTGTAATTGTTATCTTTTTTCTTTAATCATTACTGTTATGTCATGACATGCATGATTCCAGACTGTTTAATTATTGTATTGGACCCTAATTATTGTGCCTTGGGATGATCTGGTTCCAGAGTAGGACTTGGTTTAAAACAAACAAACAAAAAATAATAATAGAAAGATGGAATATTGTTTCTTGTTGTATTGTATGTAACATTATTTTCCTGCAATAAAAAAGTATTTTTAAATAACATGATTGTTTGTCCTTTTTACTCAAAGAATCTTGGAAAAATACATATACAGTAAAAGAAGCAGCACAACCGTTTTCAACAATGATTATAAGAAAAATCTTTCTTGAGCACCAAATCTGTCTATTATCATGATTTCTAAAGAATCATATTACACCGAAGACACCAAAAATTGCTGATCATTCAATTTTGCATTTACAGGAATTAATTAAATTGTACAATATCAGAAAATGACTGCAAATCAATTCCACAATAATTCCATTTAACTTTTTTTTTTTTTTTGGTTAAATAAATAATGAATAATAATAATAATTCCCAACATTTATAAAGCGCTTTTCTGGACACACATTTTTGAGGGAGAATCTCCTCATCCACCACCAGTGTGTAGCATCCACCTGGATGATATGATGACAGGCATATTATCCCAGACCACACCAGCTGATTGGTGGAGAGGGGACAGAGTGATGAAGCTAACTATGATATGGGGATGGTTAGGAGGCCATGATGGACAGAGGCCTGTGGGCAAATTTGGACAGAATGCCGGGGTTAATCCCCTACTATTTTTCGAAGGACATCCTAGGATTTTTAACAACCACAGAGAGTCAGGACTTCAGTTTAATGTATCATCTAAAAGACAGCACTCACTGAGCAGTATAGAGTCCCCATCAATATACTGGGGCATTAGGACATGCACAGACCACAGGTTGAGAGCCCCCTGCTGGCCTCACTAACAGCATCACTTGCAGCAACCTAGCTTTCCCATGTGGTCTCCCATACAGGTACTGACCAAGCGCAGCCCTGCTTAGCTTTGGTGACAATGTAAGAGTTGCAGAGAGCTAGCTGTTGGCTAAATGCAGGTTTGGTGAGCAATAAAGACTTTCACAAACATTTAATGAATCTTATTGACCCTAAACCTTTGAACAAATACATGAAATAGCATAAAACGACACATTAAACAGTTGTTTGTTTATCGAACCTATCATTTTTCCAAGGCCTTGACATAGCCTTAATAGACTACTACTGTATATAAGAAGCAAACAGCGCCTTTGACAAGTCACATAAAATATAAACAAAGACAGTACCTCAAAAAAGACATCTACTAGTTTTTGTTAATAAAGTCATACTGAATACTCAAAAAAAAAAAAAAAAGATTTTCAGAAAAGCTAATAAAAAAGATATTTTTAGTGGCTACGGCTTTTGATTAAAATAAATGTTATATTACTCAAATCCCATGTGCGCAAGAATGACTCCACTGTTTGCATTTTGAGAGCCGTTGTGAACTCCTTGTCCTGCTCTTTTCATTCTCAAACAGTTGTGGTGAGTGTGGATTCATGCGCAGAGCTGAACTGGCTTGCGGCGGTCCTGTCAGAATCCTGACACTCCAAAGACTGTCCTACTCAGTGTTTACACTAGAGGAGCCTCATGTCTTCATCTCGCCGGACTGGGGGAGACTAAAAAGAGAAATTTATCTGCAAACACACTTCTGATTCTTGCAGTCCACAGAAAGATCATCTAGGGCCATGTACACAACTGCTTATGTGAGGGAATGATGTATTGTGATATACGACTCCACTGATGCTCAGACAGTCTTAGTTGTATCGTTGATACTTTATCAATAAATATGTTCAGTATTATAACATACTGATCCTCTTACTCTGCACTAAAAAAAGATGCAACTTTAAAGGTTGTATATACACTCAAAAAAAAAAAAGAATAATTGGTTTGCAAACAAGGACATCACGATGGCGCAGTGAGTAGCACAATTGCCTCACAGCTAGAAGGTTGCTGGTCCGAGCCTCGGCTGGGTCAGTTGGCTTTTCTGTGTGGAGTTTGCATGCATTCACATGGGTTTCCTGCGGGCGCTCAGGTTTCCCTTACAAGTCCAAAGACATGCGGTATAAATGAATTTGCTAGGCTAAATCTTCCGCTGCGTAAAACATGTGCTGGATAAGTTAGTGGTTCATTCCGCTGTGGTGACACCTCAAAAATAAAGGGACTAAGAAAGCGAATGAATAAATGAATGCTGCAAACTGATTATTTGGGCTGAATTTAAACAAACAAATGAACTTTTTTGTTGTTCAACTTAATTTGTTTGTTTAATTTCAGCCCAAATAATCAGTTTGCAAGTACTAAAATTAGTAAATCCAATGAATCATTTTTTTATGACAACTACTGTTCTGAAGGACAATTTTATGCTGAATTATTTATGCTTTATTTTAGTTTTTAGAAACAAATCTGTAACTATAAACACACCTCATTGCTTGTTGTCATTCTAAAATGTTTGTAAATTTTAACTTTAAAATTGTAACTTGTAAAAAAAACGTATAAGTGTGAGCGCTGCTCCTCTGTTGAAGATATTTATTATTTGATATTTACTCATTAGGATTAACCCCTTGAGATGTACAATCTCATTTTCAAGGGGGTCCCTCAAATAATCACATTAACATAATAATAACACCAGAAGACAAAAACAAAAAGATATATAGATCAGTGAATCAAATCACCACATTAATAACATACTCAGGAAAAACAAGCACAGTGCAAAGTAAAATATGACAGGAAAGTTTGCTTAAACGCCTTAAATGATGCAATGGAATGAATACTAACAGGTAAATTATTCCAATCTATTAGACCCTTAAACATAAAAGCTCTTTTACCAATAGATTTTTTAAAACGAGAAACAAAAGGCCTAAACAGAATGTCTTGATAATTTAGAGAGAAAAAATGCAAAATATTGTTGTAAATAATGATACTTAAAATGAATACATTTAAATATAAATTGAAGCCCGTAAATATGTCGTCTTGTGTGCAAAGATGGCCACGGCAGTAGATCATATATTATACAATGATGTGTATAAAAAGAACCTCTTCTGTAAGAAACAGAGATCTTGAATTTTACAATTCTATACCACAATCCTAGTCACATAAATGTAAGAGCTTACTTTTTAACAAGGCTCATATGCGGTCCGTGATTGCTATTTTGGGCCTTTATAATCATTCTTGTTATATACAAACAAACTGAAGAGACACTGTGGTCAGATTAATCAAGACTAGCTGTTCATTTTGTCTTTAAAACAACCAGTAACCAGTGTTTTAGCTAAAATATTTTTAATAGTCGAAGGGTGAGCAAATAAACTGCAAATGATCCTTTTGGTGTGAAATTGAGAAACATAAGGAAAAACTTTTTTTTCTACCTTTTTTTTTACGTTTGAGCATTAACGTGTCTCCACAGTATGCACAAACTCATACCTGTCAACCCTCCTGTTTTTCCCAGGATTATCCTGTATTTTACAAATCTATCCCTCTATCATCCCATAACAGTATCTTCCTATATTTCCAGTCTTTCTATGAAGGGTGGCAATAAACATCAAAAAGTCGATCCTCCTTATACGCAACCCATACCGCCAAACCACCAGGGGATGCCCCTTGCTCTTAAACGTGAATCTGTTCTGTGCTTTCATTTTATTTAGGCATGAAAAGACTTTGAAATCAATATGAATATATTCCATTTCATTCCTTTACAGGTGCCAGCGTCCCTCCTATGCAATCCTCAAAACATTTAGCGGTGCGTGACTGTCAGCTGACGTGCTCCATATTGATAAATAGACGCGGTTTCCCAAACAGATTCTGTACGTATACGCGATTTGAATTGGAGCGAAAGTGAACACTCTAGATTTTGGGTGTGAGTTTGAACAGACATATCGACATAATAATAATAATAAAAATAATAATAATAATAGTAATAATAATAATAATAACAACAACAACAACAACATCTAAACATGTCGATCTTGGTGGGTTTTCTTTTAAACATAAATTTAGTCTTAAATGAGTATAAAAAGTTAGGAAAGCAATCAAATGCTTTCATAGATATGTTCATCTCTAAAGTGACACCTCTGTTATTTAATATAATCAAACGAAAAATCTAAATGAGAGATTCATTTGCTGCTCTTTAATCAGAATATTTAAGTTACACAGTAAAGAAAAGATTAATGAGATTTTGATAACTTGATTCTATTTTTTTATTATAGCTATTGATTTTAATAGGCTAAGCTGTTGAAGAAGATTTCTATTCTCTCAGTGTGAAGTATTTTCTAAGTGTAAAGCAGTTAATTTTCTCTTCTCAAAATGTATGTAGTGTTTGCAGCAAACATGCCAGCCTGTGTTAAAAATACAGTGATATGTCTGTGTAAGATGAGTATGCCTACAGGAGCAACACTAGGAGAAGGCTGAGTGACTGATTGTGTAGAATAACTGAATATGTAAAGCACTGATTATATATGTTAAATACTTCTATGAAGCTATATGTGTCAGAAGTTAGAATGAGTAACATATTATCAAGTGATTATGCTTTCATGACAATGTATGTAAACACTTAATCCTTTTGCATAAGTTGCATCTATGGAGAGAGAACTTTGGTGTCAAAACAGTTGCTGACACAGACCTGTAACATCTCTGCTGACATGAGCTAGTGGGCTGAGAGCCAAGAATAGCAGGACCCCTTAGACTAGAAAACCTATTCAAAAAAGGTCAAGAGTTAAAAAGAGAATTAGGGGTGTGTCAAATAATCCTGTATAAAAATTGTAACAAACACACTGAAACTTCAGAAGGTGCAGGAGAGACTTCAGAAGGTGTCCAGGAGAGACTTCAGAATGCTCTGGGGTCTGCTCTGCTCTTTCTCGGCTTTATTATGGAGAATAAAGTCTATTTTCTGATATTCAAAACCTCTGGTCTGATAATTTGTAATTAATGAGAAGTCAATATTTACGACAAATGGCGCCCAACGTGGGGCTGAGAAGAGACGATCGGGTGACACTGGACATGCTGGGGCTTGGAGGAAAAACACAAATATGTGGCCACGATAAAAAACGGTAAGCAATTTTCGCTTATACGTTTGTGTTTTTTCTACCAAGGACCTGCTTGTAATGGTAAAAAGTCACTTGAACTGTTTCTCCAGCTATAACGAACTACAAGTAAAACTAAAAAAGTAAAAGTAAAGATATAAAAGGAAAACAATGGGGTTTTGAATACCAGAAGAAAATAACAATTTGCATGCAAATGATCTGTGTTTTCCTAAGAGGGCCTTGACGGATAGGATAAACGTTAACTAGTAACTGTTACTCATGTTTGGGAAATTTTTTAATAATGAAGAATATGCATAGAGCATTTTTAAGTTTTAAGAGGAAGTTCTTAAAGTGTGGTGACAGTTAAGAGATTAAAGCAGATTAATAAAGTAGAGAGAAGCGTGCAAAGACCTCGGAGTACCCGTTCTGTTTTAATAATAATAAATATTATTATTCAGGAGGCTGGGGGAAAAAAGGCACAAATCCTGTGAAATGCTATTTTTACTGAAGAACAGTAAAGACGGGAGCAGAAGTAATAGGTCACTCAAGTGGAGTGTAGTGGAGAATTCTGTGGTTATAGCTCTAAGGTTAGAGGCTGTTCGGACAGGTCACTCAAGAAGAGTGAGATGTATTTATGTAATTGTAAGTATTTGTGTATTTGTCTGTGTTGGGGTGCTTAGAAGCTATCACCTTTGATCTAGAGAGACTAGAATAGAGGTGAGGTTCAGGTTACACAGTGTAAGAGATGAGTTAGAATGAGTGAGAAGTATGATTGTGTTTAGAAGTATGTTTGCAATAAGAGTGAGTTTAAAAGAATTATGGTTTTATATTATAATATAAAAGAAGGACTGCATATGTTTTGTGATTTAAGAACAATAAGATAGAGAGTGATGCAGTTTAGGGAAGAGATTGTGATACAGAGGAGGTTTAAGCCTCATAAAATTAATTGAGATCATATTGCATTTGAAAGACACAGACTGAAAAGAAGAATATATACTAGTTAAACATTTTTCTGAATAATCTCTGTGTGTTTGAAGTGTTTTTAAGTATAAACTAGGCAGAGAGGTGACTGAAATTCCTGACATGTCGACAGTCTGGAAGAAGGTCTGCTTCAGGAGTGGTAAGAATCTGTCTATTTTAAGAACAAAAGTTTCACAGGACAGATAGAAGCTAAAGAGTAAAGATATATTATAAGGTATTAAATAAATAAAAATATAAAGTAATGTAATAAGATAAATGAAATAAGAAAATATACAGGATAGAATAAGATTTAATAGATAAAAAGTGTTAATAAAAATGCAACTAGAAGCTATACTAATAAATATTAAGAAATAAAAAATTGAAGCATAGAAATAACTACATATGGATATAAATTGTTAAATTGATAAGAAAATAAATTTACTAAATCAGTATAAATAAAAATAGATAAGTTAGTTCTTTGATAGAGAATAAATTAGAAGAAAAAACTTTAATGAATATGGATTAATTGAAGAGTTAATGATCAACTGTTTAAGGAAAATAAGTTTAAAAAAAAAATGAATTAGGAAAATCTAAGAGACAAAAATGCTAATTTTTGAAAAAGGAAAAGAAGCATAGGAAAATGGAGAAAATAGAAGTCCAAACATTGTTTAATAGAATAAAGAGATGGTATTTAAAAATATATATTAAAGAGATCAAATAAAAATTAGAAAAAAAAACAGTAACATTTTAAAGAAAACAAGATTTGGCTTTAAAAGATAAAATTATGTTTAAGTGCAATAAAAAATTGTTGTGGTTTAAGTTGACTGTTGTCATCTGTTTTAAAGTCAGCTACAGACTGTCATCTGAGCCAACGGCTATTTGTAGCAAAATCAGTTAGATATAAAGCATAGACACTGAGGAGACATTAAAGAACATCATAGTAAGTTCAAAAATTTTATAGTTAATATTTTATGTACTTAAAATTAATTGACAATTAAAAATTGCATTTCAGATAGGAAAAATGCTTAAAGTAAACAAACATGTAGAGTTAAAATAGTACTATGATTTTGAAGCTATTGCAGTAAGGATTTTGAATAGGTATATTAGACATTTGGCCACCATATAGTACTGTTGAATTAAAACAGGTATGGAAATGTTAGAGATATTAAAATAATGTAAGATGTAATGTAACTAGTGAGGAAGCACTAGAATAAATTAGGAAAAATAAGTGAAGCACAATCTGAAGCCAAAGAAATTATCTATATGAACATTTAACAAATAGAAAATTAAGCATAGTTACATATGATAAAAATGATTGAGAATTAGAAAAAATAAGTTGTTAAACAGTAAGCAAAAATAGATAAATAAATAAATAAATTAATTAAAAAAAAATTAGATAAAAGGAGTCTTCATTTGATGAAGGAAAAATTGGGAAAGAGTAAAAAAGTTATTGAGTCATGAGCTAAATTCTATATATATTAATTAAAAGGACATATGGATGAACTTTGGGGGACTGTAGTCTTGTACCTACCAGACATCTGAGTATACTGGCAAATGGAAAGGTGTGTGGAAAAACACAGAGCAAAATGGCTGTGGACACTTGTGACATGAACTTTTTGCCCAGGATTTACTGAGGACTGAAAAAGCTACATTTGTTCAGAGACATTCAAAAGAGACACTAACAAGAGACTGATGAACTGATCAAAAAGAAAAAACGCTCCACCAGAACTTTACATCAGCTGAGTCAAAGAAAGAAGCCAGCCCAAAGAGAGAGGGGGGAAACGCTGAAAAGAAAAGACTGTAGCGCCAATCTGGAGCTAGTTGTCTCAGGTTGCGAGGGGGGATAGTCTGACAGTCCATCTCAAAGTAGCTCCTAAAGTCCAAATTAAGTTCAAGCATTACAGAAGGAAAATTAAGAACAAAAGTTTAGCTACCCATTCTTGTATCAAATCAGACTCCTGTCAATTTGAGAGAGAAATTATTATCATGCAAATTTTTAAGTAAGAAAAAGTTTTATAAGGAAATTCTACAGTGAAACTTTAAATGTGTAATGTTGAAATGGTATATTATGATGAATGTTAATATAATTTAGGTTTAAGTTTTAATAGGTTTAATCATAAAAGTCCGTAAACATAGACTGATAAATTACAATGCCAGCAGATTGACTAAAAAAAAAAAAGAGAAAAAGCTTTTGATAAGGCAATAAATAATTTGGAGAATAAATAGGAATATAACTAAGTATTTAAATTAAAATTAAGTAAAGGAAATATCTCAACATAATCATGTTATGAATGGCCTAAGTCAAGATTGAATATTGAAAACTGGAAAGAGATTCAAATTTAGAAAAATGATTACAAAAATGATACAGTTAAAGGGAAGATTGAAATAACAATTGAACTAAATTTATAAGATATGGTAAGGTCAAAAAGTAACAGTTCTAAATTACTATAAAACAAATTGAAAGAGAAAAGTGTTTAAGAAAAAGATATTGTTTCACATGAAAACATATGTGAAGAATAATTAGAAAAAAAAATATTAAGGAATAATAGTTAAAACAGAGCAAAAAGAAATTTACAAAACATACAGTAAGTTTTAGTCAGCTGATAAAAAAGTGCATCAAAATTTTATAAACAACTAGTTTAATGGGAGTGCCTTAGGAAATAATTATGAGCCAAAAGAAAATAACTCAAAGATAAAAAAAAAAAGGAATGAATATATAGATCAGAAAATAAATTAGTAAAGGAATGAAGTGTCAAATTCCAACTAAATGATTGTCATTACAGGACTGAGATGCAGATAAAATCAGCCAGCACAGTGAGGTTAAAATGGATTAGATGCAGAATCTGCCCAGAAAGAAAACCACTAAATGCTGAAATAGGTATAAAACTCTATTGAAGCGTGTAAAAATATAAGAGCACTAATAGAAACATCTAGATAATGTAATATGCAATCTGTCCTAGACATTTCTATTGAAATTTAAATTCAAAGTAGTAATAAATTATAAGTAACTAATAATATTTAATTGAAGTTAATTTGATAATTGAAATAAATGGTTAATCAAGACAGATAAAAGAGGCTTAATGTTGATAATATGATTTAAGAGCAATCAATAGGAGAAGATTTTCCAGCTGAAGTTCATATTGTATGTGAAGATATGTTCTTTTGGATGGTAAATATATCAAGTGCTTAGTTTCTATTGAGTTTATTTTAGGTAACTACCAGAGGAGGGTAGAAACTTGTTTGTACTTGTGTAGCTTAATGACTACCATATACTGTATACACCAGAATGCATAAAGGGTTAAAATTAGGGAGAAGATCATAGGATGGACACTGTAACGATATGTGGATGATTGAATTATCTACAGCAGTGGTTCTCAAACTTTTTTCACCAAGTACCACCTTAGAAAAAAATATTCTCTCCAAGTACCACCTTACGACGCTATTTTTTAACCAGTATTAAAAAATAGCGTCGAAAGCCTAATTAAGCAGCTACAGGTGTGCACAGTTTTAAAACGATGCAGATTACTTCCTATTAGTAAGAATATGTATTATTGTCAGTCACTTTAAACATTTGAAATAGTCTGAACATTAACTGTGCTTGCAGATAAAAAAAAAAGTTTTAGTTAAAATGTGCTTTTAAAAGTTCATAAAAAATGGCGCTGTTCTTAAAAAGTAAAAAGAAAACTGCTGTACTTAAATCTTAAGTATTCATAGTAGCCTATTCATCAAAAGCTGGAAATGCTGCTTGGACCTTATAAATATAGGCTATATGTCATATTCATACACTTTCAGACAAATCTTGAAATATATGTTAAATGTACATGACAGGGTTCATACCGGCACAGCCTAATGAAAATCACTTCCAGCACCTATTTTTTTTTCAAGACTGACATGCTATGTATTAAAGACCTGAAATGTATTCTCAGCAACCCATAAAACATTGCATAGGAATAGATACAAATAAAAACCATTAATAATAATAATATTTATTAATCATATATTAATAGTATAATAAACCTGCACTAAGTGCTTGTGAAATCTTTTTTGTACTCAAGTAAAAATACTATTACACTGCTAAAATACATTTTTTTTTAGTAAATAATACTAATATTAGGTAAAAGTACAAATTACTCTTTTAAAAAGTACTACTTGGTTACTTTTGAAAAAAAATCTGATTTTCATTATGAAATCACTTTTTTTAAGTGTAAACCTGATTTAATGGTTTGATTGCTTACATCCCAAAGCTACATGTATAATTTGCACTAACAAAGGAAGTATAGTCAATTTTTCCTTTCATGACAATTAATCTTTTTCAATAGCACTGGTAAAACTACAAAATAATCTTTAAGGCCAAAGAGACACTTTTTGCCCATCTTTAAAAATATAAATTTTTAAGCTTTGAAAGGTTAAATTAAAGTATATGGTAAAAAGATTTAAATTTAGCCTTTTATTTACATATTTTACACTATTTTCTTTACAATATGGCAAATTTGTTTCTTAAATAGCTGTACATCACATGTAGATTTTATTTTACACTTGATCTTAATCTAAAATAGAAACGTAAAAAAATACAAGTACACTGTCAGTAAAAAAAATAAAACAAATGACTTCATTTTACTTGAGGTATTTGAAATATGACGACACTACATTTATCAAAGCAGTGCTTTAAGAGCCTTATTGTAAATTGTGATAAATAAACAATAAGTAGGCTAACAACGGATTGCTTTGACCTGTAATGCTTTAGGACAGATCAGAATACAGCTAAATGTATAAATCACACAAATACCTCATCCAGAAACATTTCCAGCATAATTCTTTTGTCGTAAAGAAATAAAAAATGTTCCACCTTTGCTAAAAGTAAGTTTCACTTCACAACACAGCCAAATAAGGAGACCATTAGCATTGTAATCGATCATGTATCAATCTATTTCTAAATATTTGATAACTTTGAATACTTTTGACCAAATGTAGTTAAGGAGCAAAGATAAATAATGTCTACTTTAATAGTGGAGAGATCGCGATTGTATTCTATCTGAGCACACACGCGATCATGAGAGGACTGCAGTTCATTTGAAAAAAGCCTATTTAAGAGCTTGCATATCTGTTTTAGCGACTTGCGTGCACTCGCCACATTTGCAGAAATGAGTAATTGCGCAATACCTTCATTCCCGCGCCGCCATTCAGAATATATTAGAGGAGTGACAGGTCAGAGGCGAGTCGACTGGCTGTCGGAGAGCGAAACGTGTATGTAACGTTAGATCATCAAAAAGGCAGGAAATATGTCCGCGGTTTAATTACTCTGCTAGACATCTCTATAGTGAAAACATCCGAGAAGCATTATTCCAACAAAACATTTGTTTTTAAGTTGTTTTTCTGTCTCAGCAACACAGAAAGCCTTTGTCCCGCCCTTACGTTTCACGCAACTAGACAAGGTCGACTGTGATTGGCTACTTTTCATGTCAGTCAAATCACGCTTCGGAATCAATTCTTAAACTTCGGAAACTGATTTTCAGCAGCTTATGACACAATGCACTAAAATAAACATTAAGCACAGCGTTGTGATCGTACGCTTCACAAAACAGCCAATGCTGATCACATCAATGTTATATTACGCATTAAAGGATTAAAAGTGTTAATTGTTTCTTTCATTATTCAGCGATTCCTCCGCGTACCACTAGGAGGAAGCCCGCGTACCACTAGTGGTACGCGTACCACAGTTTGAGAACCACTGATCTACAGCTTCACAAAGATCTAGTTCATTTAAAATACTTGACTGGAGACCATTGCTCCAAACAGTGAGATGATGACTGTTTTTGGTGTTGACTGGATGAAGAATTATTCAGCGAAGAAGCACAGTTGAGAAACTGTGATGAGTAGATGATTGGAGATGGTAGCAAAAGCAAATTATAAAGCTGGAACAGTTATTACATCTGTGACAAGAGAAGTACTTCCTATGATTTGAAACATCAGCAGAAATAAGTTCATAATGGGTTTGCATTCATAAAGTAATAAAATTAAAGTTAGTAAGTGATCAATAAATAAAAACATCTAAAGGAGTATGAAAAATTGTGAATAAAGCAAAAGAGAGAGTAATTGTATTATGCTCAATTACCAGAAATGGCTGAAAGAGATGAAGATGATCCATCAAGACCAACGCTCAATGAAATATGTGAAAATAATAAACTTAATGGGATTAATTTGCTAACAAGTTCATTGGTGAGTGATGGCATGGAAACTGACAGAAACAGGCATCTAACACTGCATCGCATGAACTGCTATTGGGTCGACCCTTGAAAGAAACCTTGAAAGAAACCTTGAAAGAACACTTGCAAGAAACAGCATGACCCTTGCAAGAAACCACATGAAACTTTGCATAAAACCTGGCATATACTCTCACCTATAACCATGCACATAACTCTTGGAATGGTTTGCAAAGATGTCTAATGCAGTAGGGATTTTTATGAAGAAACAATTAATTGCCATGTGCAAAGCGATATCTGTGCAGGAAACCAGAAAGGAGCCATGTGAGAGAGCAGTGATACAAGGTCCAACTGGTCTAGGTGATTGAGTCTATCTGTGGATGCTCTGGAGAGCTCAGGAGGAAAGGACCATATCTGGATGAGGGCAAATCCAACAGCTGCCAAAGGGGATGCCATTGATGAAGTACCAATGCCTCAAAGGAGCGAAGGGGAACAACTCCAGCAAGGAAAGCTGACTGGAAACAGAGGAGCCTGAATATTCCAAAGCTCTGAGCTACTAAGTGCAACGTGTGGAAGGAGAAGTTTATCAGAACAAAGTAAAGAGTGATTCTGATAATATGCCTGAGTACCACATACAGAAGTGCCACAAGTCAAGGGATGATGAATGCACTACTGCAGATTTCAGAACTCAGACTCTTAACCACACATCTCCATCAACATCTTTTCAAAGTTTAATGAAGATGCTGATAGCTCGGAAGAAGAGAGACAAGGATGAGCAAAGATCAAGATCAACATTTGATGCTTTTTACGTTTGCATATTGATTTTGTTTGCATATTGCTTTCATGGTACCGATATATAATATCACTTCAGTATATTCTACATGAGTGTGAAAACTAGCAGCTAGCACTGAACCAACTGAATACTTATGCTTAAAAACTTTATTGTCTTTGATGTGTAAAGAGAAAAACAGAGTACAGTCTTTTACTTCCTTCAAATCAAAAGTGACAGGGAAGATGTTTGGCTGGACTTCTGTCAAAGTACAGTGGCATAATCTAGTCAATTGATAACAGCTATGTGGCTAATATCAGTCACTAGATAGAGGTAATTAAGAGAACTGGATTATGAAATTGCACTTTGGGGTTAAAAGACAATAATATTAAGACTAAAGTCTTAAGAGGAGGGATTGAAAAAGATTTCTATTCTCTCAGTGTGAAGTATTTTCTAAGTGTAAAGCAGTTAATTTTCTCTTCTCAAAATGTATGTAGTGTTTGCAGCAAACATGCCAGCCTGTGTTAAAAATACAGTGATATGTCTGTGTAAGATGAGTATGCCTACAGGAGCAACACTAGGAGAAGGCTGAGTGACTGATTGTGTAGAATAACTGAATATGTAAAGCACTGATTATATATGTTAAATACTTCTATGAAGCTATATGTGTCAGAAGTTAGAATGAGTAACATATTATCAAGTGATTATGCTTTCATGACAATGTATGTAAACACTTAATCCTTTTGCATAAGTTGCATCTATGGAGAGAGAACTTTGGTGTCAAAACAGTTGCTGACACAGACCTGTAACATCTCTGCTGACATGAGCTAGTGGGCTGAGAGCCAAGAATAGCAGGACCCCTTAGACTAGAAAACCTATTCAAAAATGGTCAAGAGTTAAAAAGAGAATTAGGGGTGTGTCAAATAATCCTGTATAAAAATTGTAACAAACACACTGAAACTTCAGAAGGTGCAGGAGAGACTTCAGAAGGTGTCCAGGAGAGACTTCAGAATGCTCTGGGGTCTGCTCTGCTCTTTCTCGGCTTTATTATGGAGAATAAAGTCTATTTTATTCAAAACCTCTGGTCTGATAATTTGTAATTAATGAGAAGTCAATATTTACGACACTGTTTGCTAATTTATTTTAAGCTTTTTCTAATGTATACTATTTTTTCTCTTCTTTGTAAATAAAAAATAGTAATAATAGTAATAATAAGACATATCACTGACTTCAACTGTTTACCTACTGTGTACTATTTTATTTTTATTTTTTTTTTGAGAAGTAGCGGGGGAATATATTCCTTATTTTTACATCCCAATGTTGACAGGTATGGCAAACTACAATGATAAAAGTGCAGATTCTCCCTTCTGTTATTCCTCCAAATAAATAAGAAGCAGTAAAATGGGCTTTTCCAGACTTCCCTTTCTGTGACATCACAAGCCCCAGTCATGACTGCTGACAAACTGCCCAATTAGCATGTGATACCCTGCTGTCATTTTAATTCACAAATTTAACATGAACATTTAACTCATTTCCCATCTTTGTTTATTTGGAATTTAGTGTGTTTAAGGCGTAACATACCAAATATGATATGTACACTTAATAAATTATATATGAGAAACTTTAAAACATGCAGAAAAATGCTCATGGCGCTTAACTACAATAACTAAGTCATTGAGAGTATCTGAGAAACAGGCTGTAAAGGCTCCACCTTATTCTGCAAGGGGGTGGGAGGTAGCAGCTCATTTACATTTAAAGAGATATAAACACAAAAATTGCCGTTTTCAGCATAGCATAATAAATTATCTGTGGGCTTTTAGAGCTGAAACATCACACAGTTGTTAAAAAAAGGGGCATAGGTCCACACCAGCAAACAGTTTTGCACTGTTTATTCAAATATACCCAGTATTTTTGTCATCTCTCACTTTAAATATTTAAGTTTATATATATATATATATATATATATATATATATATATATATATATATATATATATATATATATATATATATATATATATATATAGTCAATGTATTTTATCATTAGCTGAAAATAAAGAGAACTCATACTGAAAGTGTTAAATCATTCCTCTCTGCCATTATGATTAGTTTGTGGTGTTGAATTAGTATTTTTTAACGTTCATAGCAATTTTATTTTGATATTTATCATTATAATTCACATCCATGATGTGAATGGGTCTTTGAATTGGATCTCCATTTTAGCAGAAAAGGAAATATCGAGTCCTTTTTTTTCATATAGGCCTATAAAAAAGCGCAATGTTAAGTTTCATTTAATTGAATCTCTATTGAAAAGTGTAAGTGGGGGATTGTGTTTTATTTATGTGTGTTTTTTCCTCCTCTTCTCCTTTCTTTGTTGCTTCTCTTCGCTCTCTCTGACAAAAGACGCCAGCCTGCCAAGCAGGGCTGCTCTGGGACGAACCTGTCAATCACAGCTGACGGCACCCTGACAACATGTACGTTAAAAATTAAACTAGCTCTCAAAGCCGGCGCGTGACAGCCGAGCCTTTGAAAGTGGCTGCAGTGCTCAGCGACAGAAAAGGCAGAACGAGAGAAAAACATACTAAGAAAACAACAGTGTGATGGGAGTAGAGAGAGAGGGAGAGCGAAAGAAGGGAAAAACAAAAGTTAAAAGCAAAAAGAATAAGAACCGCAGTATTGATGGTGGGAATCGGTGTTATTTCCCTGCCTTTTTTAATTTGGTGATCTTCTCTGAGGACCTGCAGACATTTCTAGGGATGCTGCTGCTGCTGCAAGTCGCTCTTGATTCTTCAGGCTTTTCAAACAATCTCAAAGTTCTAACCAGTTCACCAACTGAGACTTGCTTCAGCTTACACACGCTGGCATGACCCAGACCGCTGTCAGTCTTTCACGTGATCTGAAAGAGACGCAACTATACAATGGTATAGCAGATGTATTTATCAAAGAAATACTGTTGATGTTTCTATGCGAACATATTATAAAGGCAGGAATTACATTTCTCAAAGCTTAAATTACATTCACAAACATGATTACTGCAGTTTGTTCAAACTTTAAAATGAGCTGAAAAAAACACAATTCTTGAGATTTTTTGGCACAGCTTATTTTTTATGGTCAATCCACACAAGTTTGTTAAAATAATAAAGTTAACTTAATCGATTTATGTTGGGACAACATGGAAGAATTATGTGGAATCCAGCATTTTTTTAACAAAAAATAAAAAAAATTCTGCAGCTTGTTCAAACTATTTATAGTTAAAAAGAGGTGTTTTTTCTCAATTCTTGAGATTTTTGAGGACAACTTAATTATTGTACGTTCAATCCACTTAAATTTGTAAATTATTTAAATTTAACTTAATCTATTTTTTGTTGTCACGACATGGAGTTTTGTGTAACACAGCATTTTTTTACAGTGTTATTAAATATAATAGCTATAGCTTTGTTATTCATACAAAATAATTAGATATTACTGTACTTACAAACTATACTTTTCAATTTCATAAATTCAACAAAGATAGTTGGATTACATTACACAAGAAAATACTAGATCAGTATTTGTACATACAAAATCTATACATAATTCAATGTTGCTTTGTCTTATATACAAGTTGTGAAAGAAGTGTTTCAACATTATTACATTTTACAATATGCACATTATCTGAATCCCTGGGGGATTAAAAACATATCACTGATTTTACAGTATTTGCAAGAATTGACTAAATACAACTGAACACACTGGCATGCTACATCCCACAATGCAAACTAGGGCTGCAAAATATTGGAAAACCGATATGAATATAAGTTTACCAGATGATTTGAATAGCTCTATTCAGGAAGATTTAACTCATTTAGATTGACTGGAGTGATCAGGACTTTTCTATGCAGTGTGTTTGCATAAGATATCATAAATTACAAGCATATATAAATACGATAAAGCAAAAAAACCAGTGAAATATACAGTGCTTTATGATTTTTCTGTGAAGTCTAACAGTATTAAAATATAAAAACCGAACAATCACATGTAAAAACATGGTCATTAGGGCTGCATGATCTTGGAAAAATCTGATATTGCAATATTAAAATTTTCTGCAATAAATATTGCAATATGAATATCGTTTTACAAGATAGTTTGCATTTGATAGTCGTCTAAGGCTTATAGAAGTATTCAGGTACAGAAATTGAATGACAATAAAAGGGAAAATAGCTTTTCTTACTTTTTGTCTTGTTTCCAGTCCAAATAAAAAATAAAAAATAAAAAAAACATACTTAGAGCAGGTAAAATGTTGTTTTGTTTTCACAGTCAAAAGAAATAAGTCACAATCAAGAGATTTACCTTAAAACAAGCTGACTTATCTGCCAGCGGGGTAAGTGAAGTACCCTGTTTTTCACTTTAAAATGTAGATATTTGGAAAGAGAAACTGTTTTTTTCTGCATTATATAAATTCTGTACAAATACAGTGATTAAATTCAATTGTGTAGCTTGTGCTCAACTGTAATTCAGACTCAACATATCTTTGCGATGTGACTATTGTAGATGCACACATTGTGATATCGATGCTAAAACTGTATTTTGTGCAGCCCTAACGATCATGATTGTAAACAGTAATATTGTAATCCTTTAATCTTCAATAAAAAAACCAAATGCTGCGATGTGACTATTGTGATTACACATATTGCGATACCAATGCTTAAACGATATAATGTTCAGCCCTAACGCAAACCATGACACATGAACCAGCAGTAATTTTCCACCAAAAGCAACAGAATTGCATGAAACCTTTTCTAAACTTTAGAATGCTGAAATCTCATCTAGGTCTACCTGGACAGATTGAGATAATGTTGGTTTTATATATGCACAATCTGGCTTTCTCCCTAAGAATATAATTTCAGAAAAACATTCTTTGCAAAATTACAACATTGTTCACAGTCAAACAAATTGTGCTAATGTTGTTTTGAAGGGATACTCGCATGTGATTTCAGACCGAATATTCAAATTAACATTGTAAACAATATAGGAAGCATGTCACAAGTTGTCACTGAACACATGCATAAAA